CTCCCTCGACCAATAAAGAGAGATGAGCGCCACAACCCGAGTCGGTCACAACTGGACCCAATGGTCAGGGGTCCCTTTACCCCTTTACCTTACACTCAAGCTTGGTATTAGTCGGGGCACAACTGTCCGCACTGAAAGGCAATCGCGTCCCTGCAAATTTACGGCCACATGCACACAAACAGAGAATTATTTGTGGCCCTGTAGATAAGTCTTTTCAAAAGGAGTTCAACAGGGCATACTCCTAAGTAAGGCCACCATACAGCTGGGATAGCTCCGTCGGTGGAGCATGTGACTCTTAATCTCAGGGTTGCAGGTTCGAGTCCCAAGTCAGGCAAATAAATAAATAAATTCCTTTATTGCAGGGAATTTGGGCTATAGATGACCCTCGCAGCACCTTTTGCCTCTATAATCCTAAGATGTAAAGCACTATTTAAATCAGCTTTAAACTGTCATGACTTCCCCCAAAGATTTCTGGGAGTTGTAGTTTGTTAAGGTGCTGAGAGCTGTAAGGAGGACCCTATTCCCCCCTATACCAGAGTTACAATTCCCAGAGTTCTCTGTGAAGAAATTTATTGTTAAACCACTCTGGGAACTGTAGTGCCATGAGGGGACAATTTTCAGCACCCTTGACAAACTACAGTTCCCAGAATTCTTTGAGGCGTAAGCCCAAACTGCTTAAAGTGGTATCACGGTGCTTTAAATATACAGTGCGAATGTGGCCTAACATGGGATAGGATTGCAAGGCGTAATGTGTTTTCTTGCTGCGTAGAAGGTTTCCTCATTGCTGTCCTGGCGGCTTATATAATTGTTGGCTGCTCAGCTTGACCAAGAAACCGATACCTCGCTATTACACACACAGTGTCCTGCTTGGCCAGAAAGCTGTAAAACCTCTCTGATTCCTTCTGGAGTAAGCAAGTCGCAGACTCTGGATTAAAATACTGTACAGCACAATCTGTGCCCAGTGTCCAATTTTCAAACCAGACTCGCAACATCACCGAATCCTGTCCCCTCTAAATGCCAAAGATCACCAATCCTCGTCGGGCGGGTTTCAGCGTTAAAGCACATCTCTCTCACAAATACCAGGGCAAGGCCAGACGTACCGGTTGCAATTTCGCAAGAGCATTTTTGCTAGCCCAAAAATGGAAAGCGAGCGAGGTTCCAGCCAAAGAAGAACGGCAACGTAAACTGATGGAATATGCGCAGCTTGCAGATTTAACATACAGAATAAGAGAACAAGAAGAACGCACGTTTAAAGAAGATTAGAAAATGTTTACTGAATATATGGGGGGAAATTGTGTATATTTGAAAACGTGGGCAGCATTTAGATCAATTCAACAGTGTAAACAAGTTTTGATGGATGTAACAATGGAATACTGAATGGTTTCGTTCATGTAAAATATGCAGGGATGTATGGTATGCAAAATGAACCGTGGAAAGAGAAGGGAGGAGCGGCAAAGGATCCTAATTGCTAAAAACTGGAAAAAAGAAACTGTGCCAACAAAAAAGGAATGGCAAGATAAACAGGCTAGATTAACAGAGGCATTTAGAGATCACACTAGACAAGAGTTTCAAAAAGCATGTGGAAAATGCAGAGAATACTTCACAAAACAGTGCCCTAAAATACATACCTGGACTTGTTCCGATTAATGTCTGCAGGAGACTTTGTGGATATTTAAGTTATAATTAGAAAAATCTTAATAATTATTCATAAAGGAAACAGTTTATAAGAAGTAAATGAGGAGGCCAGATACAGGATAAAGGAAGTCTTTTATTTGGTTGTTTGTATTGATGTATGTTATGCTCACTGTATGTTATGTTCACGTTTAATGAGGGTGGATTTGTGTATTGGGGTGGGGGGTGTTGTATTATGTTGTAAATAAAATTTCAATTAAAAATATTTTTAAAAAAGGAAAGAGAAGAAGGGAAGTCATTGGTTTCAGGTTGTCTAAATGAATATTTTGAAATGTAAATTAGAAAAATTTAATAATATATACCATATATATTTGTGTGTGTGTGTGATGGGTGGGGTATAAATAATAATTTATTGTTTTTTATTTTATTTTTATTTTTGGAACTCATGGGCATCCAATGAAGCTGATTGCAGGAAGACTGGAGACAGAGTCAAGAAAGTCCTTCTTCACACAGCGCATAGTTAAACTATGGAACTCCGTGATGGGCCATATTCATGCAGAAGAAGACTATCAATGGCTACCCGCCATGATGGCTATGGTCTCCTTCCCCAGTTGGAGACAGTATTGCTCCTGAATATCAGTTGCTGGCTGCAGTCACCATATGACAGCAGCCAGCAACTGACAGCAGCCACGAAATTAAAAGACGCCTGCTTCTTGGGAGAAGGGCAATGACAGGCCTAGACAGCATCTTGAGAAGTAGAGACGTCACCTTGCCAACAAAGGTCCGTATAGTTAAAGCCATGGTTTTCCCAGTAGTGATGTATGGAAGTGAGAGCTGGACCATAAAGAAGGCTGATTGCCGAAGAATGGATGCTTTTGAATTCTGGTGCTGGAGGAGACTCTTGAGAGTCCCATGGACTGCAAGAAGATCAAACCTCTCCATTCTGAAGGAAATCAGCCCTGAGTGCTCACTGGAAGGACAGATCCTGAAGCTGAGGCTCCAGTACTTTGGCCACCTCATGAGAAGAGAAGACTCCCAGGAAAAGACCCTGATGCTGGGAAAGATGGAGGGCACAAGGAGAAGGGGGAGACAGAGATGATTGGACAGTGTTTTCGAGGTTACCAGCATGAGTTTGACCAAACTGCGGGAGGTAGTGGAAGACAGGAGTGCCTGGCGTGCTCTGGTCCATGGGGGTCGCGAAGAGTCGGACACGACTAAACGACTAAACAACAACATCAGTTGCTGGAAACCCCAGAAGGGGAGAGTTGCTCTTGCGCTCGAATCCTGTTTGCAGGTTTCCCATTGAGGCATCTGGTCGGCCACTGTGAGAACAGGATGCTAGACTAGATCATACCCTCCAACATTTCCCCGATTAAAATAGAGACGTCCTGTTCCTTACTACTACTACCCCACCCATCTGACTGGGCTACCCCAGCTACTCTGGGTGGCTTCCATCATATATAAAAACATTAAACAACTTCCTTATACGGAGCTGCCTTCAGGTGTCTTCTAAAGGTTGTACAGTGGTACCTCAGGTTAAGAAATTAATTCGTTCTGGAGGTCCGTTCTTAACCTGAAACTGTTCTTAACCTGAGGTACCACTTTAGCTAATGGGGCCTCCCGCTGCCGTCGCGCGATTTCTGTTCTCATCCTGAAGCAAAGTTCTTAACCCGAGGTACTATTTCTGGGTTAGCGGAGTCTGTAACCTGAAGCGTCTGTAACCCGAGGTACCACTGTATAGTTACTTACAGTCATACCTCATGTTATGTCTGCTTCATGTTACGTTTTTGCAGGTTGCGTCCCACAGCGACCCGGAAGTACCGGAAAGGTTACTTCTGGGTTTCGCCGCTCGCACATGCGCAGATGTGCTAAATTGCACTTTGCGCATGCACACATACGGCACCTGCGCAGATACAGTGCTTCAGGTTCTGGGCTTTTCACGTTGCAAACGGGCCTCCGGAAGGGATCACATTCGCAGGCAGAGATACCACTTTATATACTTGTTTCAGGGTTTGCATAACTCCATACCCTCCAACATTTCTCCGATGAAAAGGAGATGTCCTAAGGAAAAGTGGGACATTCTGGGATCAAATCAGAAACCAGGATGGCTTCTCTAAATCCAGGACTGTCCCTGGAAAATAAGGCCACTGGCCTGATCCAGAAGGATAGCGTTCCTTTCTTATGCATCTGTTAACCGCAAGCATGTTGCAAAGCCTGCAAAATCAAAACAAAACAGCTAGTTCTCAACCCGTTTTTCTAGGAAACCACCCGGAGCGTATTTATGAAAAATATTTACTGCATGCCAACTCTTTCCACCCCAACAAAAAACCTCCAACCAGTTAAAGGTACTCAAAAGGTACTTCCCTGGATGTTCTGCAATGTTGTGTAATTGTCTCAGCTTGAAGCGGGGGTGGGGGAGGCTTGAAAAATATGTTTGCTCTCGGCTCTCGGTGAAACACAGAGCAGAAAAACACCGGGGAGTGGACTCGTGGGCTGCTTGTTTATCGGGCTTGCCTGTTCCTCAGGCTTCTTGGAAACGGCTGCTGCATGGAGATAGCATGTGAACAGGGCTGCAGGCAACAATGCGCACGCATGCCTCTTTCACATGCCCAAGCCTTGCTGCGGGAGCTCGGTTACAGAAAGTTCAGGCGGTGCAGAAAGAGGAAGACGTAGACTTCCTGCTCCTGGACACGTGGAAGGAGCGTGCACAACCACCCGGGCTGCTGAGATAGCAGTCGTGCCAGCTGCGCTCTCCAATAAGCTCAGCTGTTTATCCCTCCCTAGCAAAAGGGACTGTACTCTCTCTCCTCCTCCAGCGAAGGCAGCAGGGAGAATGTTCCCAGGGATAAGATGCCAGCCTCCTCCTGCCACAGCCCTGCCAAATGCAAAAATAGATATACACATACAGAAACACGCACACACACGCATATAAAAACATACGGTACCTCCTCCTGTCTCAAGGTATTTGCAGTTTCATAAACACTTTTCTGGCAAGGGAACTGTTGTTGAAGCCAAAGGTTTCTTAGAAGCAGAACACCCTGCTCCAAATCCCAGGAATAAGAATTTGCTTTGTTGCATCGATATCCCAGACCCTCCCAAGTGTTCCTATTTTCCAGGGACAGTCCCGGATTTACAGCCGTCCCGGTTTCTGATTTGATCTCCGAATGTCCCACTTTTCCATAAAAGGTTAAGGTAAAGGGACCCCTGACCATTAGGTCCAGTTGTGGCCGACTTTGGAGTTGCGGCACTCATCTCGCTTTATTGGACGGGGGAGCCGGCGTACAGCTTCCGGGTCATGTGGCCAGCAGGACTAAGCCGCTTCTGGCGAACCAGAGCAGCGCACGGAAACGCCGTTTACCTTCCCGCCGGAGTGGTACCTATTTATCTACTCACACTTTGACGTGCTTTCAAACTGCTAGGTTGGTGGAGGAGGACTGGAAAAAATTTAAGAACTATTTACAAAAATTTTACAAGTTATATGAACTATAAAATGACGCACAATCTGAAATGCTAGCCCCAGTAACGAGAGTGTAATATTTATGAAATTGGATAATATTACTGAAAGAATCAAAGTTTAAATGTTAAGAATGATAATATGTCTTGTTTTCAGGGTAAATGGACAATAAGGGATTTAAACTTAAATTGCAACTGAAAGTACCAATAGAAACACATGAAACAAGGTTACAATTTGCTGATAAATTTATTATTAATAATGCATTGTGCGGGAGATGTGGGGAAGTTTGATGGAAAGTTGGAATAAGCTGTTGAAGGGGTATGATTTTTCTTTTTTCTTTTACATTTTTCGTTTACTTTTTCTTCTACTGTTTTCTGTCTGTGTCTGAAAAAATGCAATAAAAATTATTATAAAAAAAAAAAAAACAAACTGCTAGGTTGGCAGGAGCAGGGACCGAGCAACAGGAGCTCACCCCATTGCGGGGATTCAAACCGCCAACCTACTGATTGGCAAGCCCTAGGCTCTGTGGTTTAACCCACAGCGCCACCCGCGCCCCAAGGACTTTTCCATAGGGCGTTCCTATTTTCATAGGAGAAATGTTGGAGGGGATGATATCCCACCTTCTCATCAAAGCAGCCCCCCCCATTTAAAAAGTAACTATTCTGCGTTTCAAACGCATAATCCGTAAGGCAGGCAACTCAAGTTGCGGGTACCACCAATTGTTTAGGACTACCACATCGCTTTTTCGTTAAGCATTTTAGATCTATGGAAATACAGTGGAAACTTGGGTTGCGAACGTGATCTGTGCGGGATGCAAGTTCGCAACCCAGAGCATTCGTAACCCGCAGCGGCATGTCTGCGCACGTGCGGGTTGCGATTCAGTGCTTCTGCGCATGCGCAAAGCGTGATTTAGCACTTCTGCGCATGTGCGACCACTGAAACCCGGAAGTAACCAGTTCCGATACTTCCAGGTTTTGGCGCGTCCGTAACCCAAAAAAACACAACCTGAAGCCTCTGTAACCCGAGGTATGACTGTAAACAAGTACAGTGGTACCTCGGGTTAAGTACTTAATTCATTCCGGAGGTCCATTCTTAATCTGAAACTGTTCTTAACCTTAAGCACCACTTTAGCTAATGGGGCCTCCTGCTGCTGCCGTGCAGCGGGAGCGCGATTTCTGTTCTTATCCTGAAGCAAAGTTCTTAACCCGAAGCACTATTTCTGGGTTAGCAAAGTCTGTAACCTGAAGCGCATGTAACCCGAGGTAACACTGTATAAGGAACGAAGCAGGCACTCCCTTGAAACAAGTCCACAGAGCAGAGGACACGCAAGTAAAACAGCTGCATTATCGGATCAAAATTTATTCATTTGAAGTTTATTAAATTTATATACTGCCCTTACGCCAGAAGGAGACGCCAGCAACCAAGCAATAAAATTGAAACACATTCAAAACATCTGAAAACAGAAAGAACAATCCCACACTCTCGCAGCTAATAAATTTCAAGGTAGTCAAGAACGGTATCTTTCAGTCAGCAGATGCCCAACTGATAAAAGAAAAAAGAATAAAAGTCTTGCTGAATGCTAGCAATGGAGGAGACAGACACACCTCACAAAGGGGGGGCATCCCGCAAACAGGGACAAAGAGAGGATGTACAAATGGGGCATTTGGGACAGGGGATTCAGAAAACTTAGAACCAGGGCCCTGCTTTTAACAGAGCAATTGCAAAATTCCAGTGCTGGAGCCAGAACTTGCTTGCTGCTCTGAAGGAGGCCGAAAGGTGTGTGAGAGAGAAAGCCGCTGGGTTTTGAACTGTGAGCAGGTCATCAGGCACAACCCGCCTATGTGAAATGGATCTAAGCTGCTCTGGCCGTAGCCCAATACATTTTGCTGCCCAAGGCAGAACAACAACATGGTGCTCTCCCTCCCCAAGTCAAGGCGCACAAGGCTGGCCAAGCCGTTTCAGCAACTGAGACTCCCTGGATATATATATATATATATATATATATATATATATATATATAATGTTGTTGTTTAGTCGTTTAGTTGCGTCCGACTCTTCGTGACCCCCTGGACTAGAGCACACCAGGCACTCCTGTCTTCCATTGCCTCCCGCAGTTTGGTCACACTCATGCTGGTAGCTTCGAGAACACTGTCCAACCATCTCGTCCTCTGTCGTCCCCTTCTCCTTGCACTCTCCATCTTTCCCAACATCAGGGTCTTTTCCAGGGAGTCTTCTCTTCTCAGGAGGTGGCCAAACTTTTGGAGCCTCAGCTGCAGGATCTGTCCTTCCCGTGAGCACTCAGGGCTGATTTCCTTAAGAATGGATAGGTTTGATCTTCTTGCAGTCCATAATTCAAAAGCATCCATTCTTCGGCGATCAGCCTTCTTTATGGTCCAGCTCTCACTTCCATACATCACTACTGGGAAAACCATAGCTTTAACTATACGGACCTTTGTTGGCAAGGTTTATTATATATATATATATATATATATATATATGCTTTCGTAGATTTTCACGGGTACAGGAATGCAGGTTTTGGTGTCCTCGGGTGTCTTCCCGTCTTTTACACGGGAAGACACCCGAGGACACCAAAACCTGCATATATATATATATATATATATATATATATATATATATATATCACACACATATATACACACCCACACCCACCTACCCACACAAAATAACAATAAAGCTAGTAACTAATGATTTGATGCCCTTTTGGCATACCCAATAGCTAGCAGCCTAGGGCAGCTTAATGATAGGGCGAGCCCTGATACAGATTGAGAAACAGCTCCTCAAGACCTGGGGCAGAGATGCTCCATGTGCAGTGGCTGTGATTTTCCACTTTGCATGGTTATTTCCAGGAGCCACCTCCAGTTTCCACTCTAAATAAAACACAGTCTCACTCAGGGGTCAGCAAGGTTTACCTCACCTGGGCAGGTTCACTCCAGCAGAGAGCCCTCCTTGGGCCGGATTGTGAGTGCCCAGGCCCGCAATTTCTGGCTTCTGCATCTGTACAGATGCAACTTCTGGCATCTGTGTCTGCGGAGATGCGATTTCTGGTGCCGCAGAAGCGAGACCGTGCCAGTTTAGCGCAGCCCGCGGGGACTCGCCGAACGGTGGCTCGGTTTGGGGGCGGCTCGTAAGCCGGTTAAATGACCCCCATGGGCTGCTTGTGGCCCATGGGCCTAGGGTTGCCTACCCCTGGTCTTACTGGTTTCCAGGCAGCATATGTACAGTGGGCAGTTTGGGGAGGAATGGTTAGGATCCGACTAGTCAATGCTATCCAGAATGCAGCAGCTAGACTGGTGACTGGGAGCAGCCGCCGAGACCACATAACACCAGTCTTGAAAGACCTACACTGGCTCCCAGTACGTTTCCGAGCACAATTCAAAGTGTTGGTGCTGACCTTTAAAGCCCTAAACGGCCTTGGCCCAGTATATCTGAAAAAGTGTCTCCATCCCTGTCGTTCAGCCCGGACACTGAGGTCCAACGCTGAGGGCCTTCTGGCGGTTCCCTCACTGCAAGAAGTGAGGTTACAGGGAACCAGGCAGAGGGCCTTTTTGGTAGTGGCACCCGCCCTTTGGAACGCCCTCCCATCAGATGTCAAGGAAACAAACAACTACCTGACTTTTAGAAGACATCTGAAGGCAGACCTGTTTAGGGAGGTTTTTAATGTTTGATATTTTATCGTGTTTTTAATATTCTGTTGGGAGCTGCCTAGATTGGCTGGCGAAACCCAGCCAGATGGGAAGGGTATAAATAAAAAATAATAATAATAATATTTTATTATTATTATTATTATTATTATTATTATTATTATTATGCAGGAGGGTCAGCAAGGGTGTAATCAGAAGGAGACAGTACAGGTTAATTTGGGAAAGGGGTGGACAGCACTCTGCAAAATGTTGACGATCAGGAGCAAATCGCTTACCGTATTTTTCGCTCTATAAGACGCACCAGACCATAAGACGCACCTAGTTTGTGGAGGAAAACAAGAAAAAATATATTCTGAATCTCAGAAGCCAGAACAGCAAGAGGGATCGCTGCGCAGTGAAAGCAGCGGTCCCTCTTGCTGTTCTGGCTTCTGGGATAGCTGCGCAGCCTGCATTCGCTCCATAAGGCGCACACACATTTCCCCCTTACTTTTTAGGAGGGAAAAAGTGAGTCTTATAGAGCAAAAAGTACAGTATATGTTTCTACTGAAAATGCATGTGATCACGCGAGTGACTGAGTGAGTCTCTACAAGAACAAGACACATGGGAAGCTACGCCAGCTTGCTCTTAAAGCAGTGTGATCTTCCCATCAACGTGACTGGATCCTGTCCAGAAATGGGAAATGCAGGCATCCTGAGTCATCAGATGCATGACTAGATTTAGATAAAAGCAAGTTCCATTAATAGCCGGCGGTGGCACTCAAAGGTGGAAGAGGAGGAGAAACAAAAAGAAAAAGAGAATTAGCTTCTTTTGTGCACGTTATCTAAGCGAAGAAGCTCTCCAAAGTCGAGGGAGAGCAGGGCCCTTTCGGTCCTGAATGGGGAACCTTTGGACCTCCAGATGTTGCTGAACTACAATTCCCATCAGCCCACCAGGCATGGTCAATGGCAGGGGGTGATGGGAGCCGTGGTTCAGCAATGTCTGGAGGCTCAAAGGTTCCCCATGTATGGTCCAGCAACTGATACAGGAATAGAAGATGCTATGCTAAGCGATGGCTGGTACCCTCTGGAATTGGTAGGGGGGGAAGCAGGGAGACCAGCAGCAGGCTGGGGCAGAGCCAAAGACCATAGCTGTCAACTTTCCCCTTTTCTTGCAAGGAATCCTATTTGGAATAAGGGAATTTCCCTTTAAAAAAGGGAAACGTTGACAGCCATGGCCAAAGACAGGCAGAGTCAACCCCCCCTCCATCAAATTTGCGGTAAGTAAGTTGGCAGGCAGGGGCGCAGGTGGCACCTAGGGCTTGCCG